GACAGGGTTGCAACAGACAGGAATTCCTTCACATCATGAGCTTGTTCAAAGGTTTATGGTCCAGGTTCTATTAATGAGAAGGGAAGAAAGGCAAGGGAAGTCCAAGAAGGGGAGGAGAAGGGTGTTACATGCCTAGGTGATATTCCTCAGCGGACTGCAGGGAGTGTCTGGGTTGTGGATCTCTGAAGGGCACCAGTAATTTGGAGTATTCATGACCTGGGGCTTATCTATCAGTGGTAGATGTGGGGTGGAGTTTTGAGGAGTATACAAAGCAGGCATGCCCTAAATGGGAAAAAAATCTGTGTATTTGGGTAATTTTTAAAATAGCTGGATGTGTAAAATTTTACTTTTGGTGTTTTTCAGTTAATAGGAAGACCTGTGTCTTTTTCAGTTAACTTGCTAAATTGCACGGTTTGATGGAAACATGGGCTTTGAAATTAGAGATCAAGGTTTTTAATCTTATCTCTTTCCCTCGGTATGTGACCTTGAGCAAGCTGTTTAAACCTCCCTGAGACAGTGTCTCCATCTTTACAAAATATAGTTACCAACTACCTCATAGGAAAAGTATAAAGATTAAGTGAAGAAAGTAGTTCATTTGACCAACCATATTGAGAACATACTATAAGACAAGCAGTGTGTTAATTTCTGAGTCTACAAAGATAAATAAAACACAGTCACTGATCATGAATATAGTCTAGTGGGCTGAGATATGTACATAAAATAAAGCATGAAAATATAAGGGTACTTTAAAAAGTTAGTGCAAAGTGGAATTGAAAGATATTGGTGCAAAACTTTTTGCAATACATGCATAGTTTTTTTTATAACATGCATTTCCATGAACTTTTTGAAGACCCCTAGAAAGCATAATTTCAAAATAAACTTATCTTTTAATCCCATTTTCCATAAAATTTTGAAGTATCCTTATATACATATTAGTGGTCTGTACAGCACATTACAGGGGTTACCAATGGAACAGGGGGTAGAGGAGGAAAAGATTTCAGAGATGACTACTTGGAGGATGTATTATGAACTGAATTTTATCAGATGAATACAAAGTCAGTCTGGTGAACAAGAGAGTTTAGAAAAGTTTATGGAGAGAATAACATGAGCAAATACACAGAAATGAGGAACAGCACAGTGTCACTGGAAAACTGTCAACACTTCTGTGTTGCTTGGATTATCAATCATAGAACACAGAATGGTGAGAGAGGAGTCTGGAGGGTAGGCATGAACTTTATCTTGCAGACCATATTAAGGTTTTAAAATTTCTTCCTCTGCTTCAGGGAAGCAATTGAACAATTTTAAATTTGGAAGCGACTTGGTAAGATGAGCACATTAAAAAGAACATTGTGGGCAGGCGCTGTGGCGAAGTGGGTTAACGCCCTGGCCTGAAGCGCCGGCATCCCATTTGGGTGCCCGTTCGAGACCTGGTTGCTCCACTTCCGATCCAGCTGTCTGCTATGGCCTGGGAAAGCAGTAGAAGATGGCCCAAGTCCTTGGGCCCCTGCATCTGCGTGGGAGACCCAGAAGCTCCTGGCTCCTGGCTTCAGATTGGCACAGCTCTGGCCATTGTGGCCAACTGGGGAGTGAATCATTGGATGGAAGACCTCTCTCTCTCTCCCTCTCCTCTCTCTGTGTAATAAATAAATAAATGAATCTTTTTTTTTTTTTAAAAGAGCGTTGTATAGAACTAAAAAACCAAACCAGGATTCGACATCCTTAATGAAATAATGAAACCAGGAAATGACCATTGATGATTACTAAAACCACTAGGAGAAAAGCTAAAAGGCCATAATTACATATGGCCAGAAAAGGCTAACAACATCTGACCAATCTTAGCAGGACAAAAAGAGCATCTATCATATATTGTGTACCTCCTGGTATGATAGAATAGGAAGTACAGTGCACCACCTATGTAGTTGTCTTTCCTAAAAAAAATTAAACCTGGGTTTATCAATCCTTTAGATCTATCAATTTACAAGTAACTCTAAAGTGAGAAGAACATGTTTGAACATTATCTTGGGTATGCAATTGAAAAAATGAAGAATGTGGAAAATTCTATAGGACAAGCAACTCACTTTCTCAATAATTGTCTAAGAAAAAAAAAAGGAGAGCTTAGATGTTAAAAATGCTGAGAACATAAAATAACCAAGTACAATATGTGGACCTTCATTGCATCGTGAATTAAACAAATCAACTGCAAAACACACATTTATGAGATAGAGAAATCTGAATACTAACTAGATGCTTGATGATATTGAGGAATGCTTTAAAATTTTTATACATGATAATGGAATTGTAGCTATTGTTTTATAGTCCTACATGTCCTTGTGGAGCTATTCATTCTTTTTTAGTCTAAGTATCTCTGTTGTTCAGATTGAGTAATCTCTGGTGTTCTGTCTTCAAGCCACTGCTTCTACCTCTGTCCTCTATATTTTGCTGTTTCATTTTGGTTATTGTATTTTTCATTTCTAAAACTTCCCATTTGGTTCCTCTTTGTATATTCTGTTTGGTTCAAAGGTGTTCATACTTGATTGTTAATTCCAACCTCTGTATCATCTTAATGTTGGTGTCGATTTCTCTCATTCAAGTTGAGATGGTTCTTGGTGTGACAATGGTTGTCAATGGTATCTAAGACATTCAAGGTACTAATATTGTAGAAATGTGAATCTTATTTAAATCTTGTTTTAACAGGTCCTTTCTGACACTGCACTATAAGGGAAAAGGGGATGCTGCCTTATTATTGTCTGGTAGGGATGAAGTTGAGGTTTTTCATTTAGCCTTCATGGATAGGGTGAAGGGTGCCTCATTACTGCTGAGCAGGGGTGGAAACTTAGCTCCTATGTGGCCTCCACCAATATACTTACTACATTACCACTGAATGACAGTGGAAGTCCTGACTGTACTAGGCTTCCTCTGATACCATCTAGCAGAAAAGGGGAGGGGTACCCCATTACCATAGTGTAGGGATGGAAGTCAGGCTCTCTATGTGGTCTCCACTGAAACCTGGGGGGCTCTTTAAACTCAGAGAATATTAAAGTCCCAAAGTGCTACTTCACTTTCACTGACATAAGATGGCAGTAGAAATATAGACCAGTGCCTGTCTTGTTATAACTGGACAAGAGTAAAGTCTGGACTTCCCACTTAGCCTTTGTTGACAGCAGTAGGACCACAGTTTTTTCCTATGATACTTGGCTGGAGTAGAACAATTATTGTCTGAAAGTTGTCTATCTTGCTAGACTGCCCCTTCCCTAGTCTTTAGTTTAGAAAGGACAGGTTTTTTCCTTGGGACTTTTGTTTTCTCTGCCCATTGTTGTTTTCAGGTTGCTGGCTTCTTCATGACCCAGTATAGGTCATATGAAGCAAAAAAGAAAACTGTGGGACTTCATTGCCCTGTTATTTCTTGGATTCTGAGGTCCTTATCTGGTCTGCCTCATTCTCTACACCTTTAAGAGTCCTGTTATAGCTGTTATGCAAATACTATCCTCCTGGAGTTGGCAGAAGATCCCAGGAGAAATGCATCTACTTCATCTTTTCCAGAAGCATTAGTCCCATTGTGGCTATGTTTTAAGAGATTCTTCATCTTTTAGAAATAATACTGAAATGTTAAAGAATAAAATGATATAATATATGGTATATTTTTCAAAATAATCTAAGGGGAAAAGAGTGAAAATATACATGTAACATGATCAGCCCCCTGTACTGCAACAAACCATGAATCCAAAGTACTAAAAAATGCATCTTTCCTGAACATGTACAGATTTTTATGTCACTATCCTCTAAACAACACAGCATAACAACTATTTACATAGTATCTACATTGTAGTAGGATTTATAAATAATCTAGAGATGCTTTAAAGTATATAGGAGGATATGTGTAAGTAATATACAACTGCTACACCATTTTGTATAAGAAATTTGAGCATGTATACATTTTAGTATATGCAGGGGGTCCTGGAACCAATCCCTCACGGATACTGAGGGACAATTGTTACTGTTCCAGCTGGGTGATGGATCCATAAGTATTCATTTCTCTTTTCACTTTTGCCTAAGAGAGAATAAATGCTTGAATAAAGGCAGCAATACTAGAAATAGAAAAAGGTATTTAGCGGTAAGGCTGGAAAGAGTTGGTGATTAACTGGACATGGGTAGCAGCTTGATGGTTAGGTAAGTGTTAGCTCCAAAAATGGAGATGGAGAATTTAAGAGACTTTGACTCCAATTTTGATATCTGACTGATGATAGATTTCCAGCCCCACCATTTGCCTTTCCTTTTGTCCCTATATCTGAGAAGGTGATAGGCAAGTCCATGTGCTCCTTTCTTTGGTGCCAGTGAGAATACTCATGATAGCCACAGCCCCTAATCCTAGTATAATTCAAAATCCAGCACCCTTTCTCTGATCTCTCAAACTTCTTGGAGAGTGAATTGGGAGTCTTCTCTGCTCTTTCCAGAAAGCCCATTAAGTGAGTAGTTAACACTATACTCCTTTTTGGTATCTGTACAGCATCATCAGTCTTAGCTCCAAACTAAATTTAGGGAACAGGGATCTGTCTTGCCTACTTATGGTGACTACAACATGAAAAGAGAAGGTTATTTTTGTAAGTGGCTGTAGGGAACAGGAAAGAGAAAGTCCAGTTTGGGCATACTGCACCTGAGACATGTGGATACAAAGTATATAGCACTCAGAATTGTTGTTTTATTTTTCCTATAAGCCTCCAAATTCTTTCTTCTTTTGGGTTAAGAATTTTTATAGATTTTATCAAAAAATGGAAGCTAAATAAAAACCATAATAATGATAATAATACTTAGCAGTTATTGAGGCAAGTTTAACCCAAATTTTACAAATGAGGATAATTGAGGCTTTAAAACCCCATAATGTGTAGGTTGTTAAACTGTGTTCCAATGTAGATGAGTGAAACTGCAGAGCTGGGCTCTATTTACTACGCCATACTTCCTCTCTATGAGAACATTAAAGTAAGTTGAAAATCTGCATCACTTACTTCATAGTATACAGCATGTAGAGAATATCAGCTTGCTCCTGTAAGCTTGACGTCTCCTTCAACTGCAAAACCAGTGCCTGGAAGTCCACTTCCCCAGACTGGTCTCTAGGAAGATGTACTTCTACACGAACAGTTGGAACCTTGAGTTTGAGAAATGGTGAAAAGAATTAAGTCCATCAGGGCTCAACTTAAACAATGCCCTAGAATGAGTCATCTTTTTACCCCCAAACCTTTTCCATAAGCATTCTCTCAATGTCAATGAAAAGCAAAGTGAAAATAATGAGGCCTTCAGCATGTATGACACAGCAATCTAGTTTTCTTAAAGCTTGATTAGAAAAACTTGTCTGGGGCTGGTGCTGTGGCATAGCAGGTTAAGCTGCCGCTTATGACCCGGCATCCCATGTCAGAGTACCAACCAGTTCAAGTTCTGGCTTCTCCGCTTCCCATTCAGCTCTTTCTCTGCTGATGTGCCTGCGAAAGCGGTGGAAGAGGGCCCAAGTGCTTGGGCCCCTCCCTCCATGTGGGAGACAAGGATGGAGTTTCTGGCTGTTAGCTTTGGCCTAGCCCAGTTCTGGCTGCTGCAGCCACTTGGGGTGTGAATCAACAGATGGAAGATCGCTCTATCACTCTCTCTCTCCCCCTCAATCTCTGCTGCTCTGCCTTTCAAATCAATCTTTTAAAAAAAGAAAAAGAAAGAAAAACTTGCTCACTTCAAATGTGAACTGAAAAGGACATGTATCTTCACCAGGATAGCATTTTGCCTACCACTACTTACTAACAGTAGCTATATTATTTTCCACAAAGGCAGTAGTTTTGCAAAAAGCTGATGGAAATATCTAATGTGCAAGTTTACCTGGTCCTCCTGTGAGGGATGAGATGAGTCAAGTAAGTTGAGTGAAGGGCGAGAAGCCTGAAATAACTTTGTAGGAAGATACATGTGAACATCTGCAAGAGGTTGACATTTATGGGAAAGGTTAGATAATTAGAAGACAAATAAAAATGTATGGTTGACCCAAACAACGAGGTCACATATGGGTCAATTCTTTATAGAACAAGAATGACAAATTTCTCCCTTCTTGGGAGTATCAACAAAAATATGAATATTAGATAATTTAAATAGTGTCCAACTAATCAATAAATACATTTTGAATTGAATTTCTAGAATTATAACATAAAGATGTACACATAAGAAATTAAAATTACTAATATAATAAATAACACAATGGTGCTATTATCGATACTTTGATAGAATATCACATATAACAGATAGAACATCATTATGTTTTATATTTTCTAGCTTTCCAAGGAGAATATCCGATTGCTTGCAGTTGGATTTCCCTAGAATATGTGGATGAATGATACTATCTAGGAAATGAAAAAATATAGTGGCTGACCAACGTTAAGATATTCCTAAGATTTTTTTTTTGCTTACAGTCCATTGTTGAAATACTTACCATAAACTCTAAGGAGAGACTTTCTGGTCATTTTCACCATTTTACAGATACAGAAAGAGAGATACAGATACTTACTTGTTCAAGTAAGTAAGTAGCAGAGCTGGGAATTAAGCTCAAGTTTACTGATTTGCAATCAAGAAGTATAAATTAATAAAGTTTCTCTCTTCACATAAGTCTTTTCTCCAGGAGGCATACCCCAAGGGTATGTTAAGTATTTCCCCATTATGAATGCTTAGTGATTCCCCAATGTTCATGTTTAATATCATTTGTTAGTAATAGTCAATCAAGTTTTAGGTAGCAAGAGCATGCATCTCAATCATTCTTATTATCTGTAAAATGTTAATATTCAGGTCCTCTCCGTGGCCAAGGAGCCCTTTTCTCCTTTCATATGCAGCTACCATGGAGTCTCTGAACACTCTTAGGAACCATGACTACTCCTGGCAAAATGTAGTAGGAGATATCCTCCATTGCAAATACTACTGGAGGAGGGTAGGTCGGGAAGATAATGGCCAAACTGTGAAGAGTGAGTACTGTATGACAAATATAGCTCTACATTGCTAGAACAATAACTGTAAAAGTTACAGCTGGAGGCTGGTGTTGTGATGCATTGGATTAAGCCTTTGCTTGTGACCCCCAGTATCACCTAACAGTGTTGCTTCAAGTCTCAGCTGCTCCATTTCTTTTTTTTTTTAAAGAATTTATTTAGTTAGTTAACAGGTAGAGTTACAGGGAGAAAGGTCTTGCATTTTCTGGTTCACTCCCCAGATGGCTGCAATGGCTGGAGTTGCACTGATCTGAAGCCAGGAGCCAAGAGCTTCCTCCAGGTCTCCCACATGGGTGCAGGGGCTCAAGCACTTAGGTCATCCTCAACTGCTTTCTCAGGCCACTGCAGAGAGCTGATTCAGAAGAGGAGCAGTTGGGACTTAAACCGGCGCCCATATGGGATTCCAGCATAGCAGGCGGAGTGAGGCTTAGCGCACTATGCCACAGAGCCGGCCCCTCGCTGCTCCACTTCTGATCCTGCATCTCTAATGCATCTAGGAAGGTAGTGGAAGATGGCCCAAGTAATTTGGGACCCTATCATCCATGTGGAAGACTCAGATGCAGTTCCAAGCTCCTGGCTTCAGCCTAGCTGAGCCCTGGCCATTGCAGCCATTTGGAAGATTCTTTCTCCCCCTCTCTCCCTCTCTCTCTCTCTGTCTCTCTGTCTCTCTGTTACTATTCCTTTTAAATAAATAAAATAAATCTTTAAAAGAAGTAACAGATGGCTCAAGGGAATCAAACGTGGCTTATTTAAGGGAGACTATCTCCCTTCCCATTGTATGGTCATATTGTAATAGTTCTACAATTGCTTTCTCTTTAAACAAAATTACTGTCAAAGGAGTAATTTTTCCAAAGGAAAAGCCCTTTTTTAGCATCCCCCACTTTGATGTTAAAATCGAATACACTTGATGTCCCTTGGTCTGCTGCTTCTTACTATGTTACTGGTTAAGCCAGACAACTATACGATCTGTAGCAAAACTATATCCCATTCATTAATTTTACAGATATTTGAGTGTCTAACATGTTCTAAGTGCTGTCTGAGATACTGGGGATAAAGCAGTGGAGAAAACAAAGTTACTGCTTACATTGTCATCAATGCCCGCCCCCATCCTGCTCTTCACGTCATCCTGTGCCTGACTCCAGTGAGTCATGGCATTACTCACTCTGTACATGCAGCTCCTTGGCCTTGGTCACCAAGGACATTAAGTCGCAGGTTGTTTGTACAGCAGCTCGGAACCGATTTAGCCCTCCCTTCTGTGAGGCAGGTGCTAGTTTAGGATGGGGAGCAGTGTGTGCCAAAAGGTGATCTAAATAACGAGCAACTTCATCACCACAGCGAGCTGCAAGGTTAGTGGGGGGAGGGGAAGGAGAAAAAACAAATATGTTAGTTATTTCACAATCATCCCTAGGAAAGAGAATGACTCACTCCTCTGCTCACAACACAGCTTTGGAAGTAGGTTGCTTTTGGCTCATGAGGGAAAAAAGGTCCTGATCACTATATAGCTTTAAGATTTAGAGAGAGACTATGTCTGTTTACCAGGGCCAACCTGTTTTTCAGTTTTGCTGAGACAATGTTAGGGTTCCTGAAAGCAGAATGAGCTAATTCTAGGACAGGTGGAGCAAGCACTTCATAATCTGTGTGTGTGTGTGTGTGTGTGTGTTTGCACATGTGTGTGATAGTTGGAGTGATGGCAGCAGTGGTGGAGGAGGAGCAAAACAAGGCCCTTCAAGCCCCAGTAGAATGAGGAGACTTGGGTGAGAAAGGGTCAAGGGAGGTCAAGGGCCTTCCACCAAATATTTAGCCTCCCTCTTAAACAGATTCTACTAAGGACAATAATAATAACCAGTGAAAAAAGAAATCTTCACATGACATTGGTATAGAAAGGACTATGGGTCACACACTGGTGTTTTTAGTCATGTCATTTCTTTATTCATCAAATATTTATTGGTTAGTATTTACCAGGTAGTGTACTAGGTAGGTGCTGAGGTTTCAGGGTGAAGAAGATAGATACAGTCTCTAGGCTCTTGGGCTCCCCCTTCTCCATACACCTATAATTGTCTCTGAATATGGATACTGGAACCAAAAATACACATATACCCTGTGGGTACTTAATATTTCAGACTTTACATGAATAGCTACAATGTTTATAGAAGGAAATGCACACTGTCCTTATCAATACTGAAGTCTGCTAAGTCAGTTATGCGTCATCTAGTTTTCAGATGATCTTCAGCGATCTTTCCAGATGTTTTTTCATGCTTTCATGTGACTACTGGGAACTAGAAGAGTCTTAAGAATGGAACTCATAGTCAGTGACTTCCTGGTAACAAATATTGTACCTTGAGTACAATCTAGATGGCAGGAGGATTATGAAATGTATAGAAGGAAACTGTTTACCTAGAGAACGGCTGGCAAGCAATAAGCATACCCATTGTGAGACCACTCATGAGTAAACCCAGAAGTGGGAAAGTGACTCACAATGTTATAATTCCAAATGTAGTGATATATAGCATTAAAAAGATATATTTCAGAAAGCAATCCAAGGGAATGAGTGCTACAGATCCATAATTACTCATGGAATAGCAAACAACCTCCATATATGATTATCCCTATCTAATTTTCAAAGTGTTTTATGCCAAGATTGGTTGTTATTGATGACAGTAAATCTCCTTACTTTTAATGTACTTTTCCAACAAAGAAATTCAAACTAGTTTAGATCTTATAAATAAAATACAGACTGAATGAAGTGGGGGAATTAATGAGTAAATGCTGAGCCCAAACAAGTAGAGTCTTGACTAGCACAAAGACCTCTCCAGAGATTCTGATTTGCTCCTCTTATGTTATATAAAGTAATCTTATTAAATTTAATATTTTTATGCTTTATAATATCAAAAAGCAGCACATGTATAACTTTCCTATCTCACACTTGATTAGATTAAATCTCTCTCACTCATCGCTGCTTCTTCCTACTTCAAAATCACCAGCCACTTCAAATGCCTGGGAGAGAAATCCTCCCCAGTTTTAGTAAGGGACAGTCCAACTCCATGTTCCACAATTACCACAGGGATATTAGACCAAAACCCAAAGGTAAGTAGAGGGGTGAAAAGTAAAGCCAAACAAAAGTAGAAATCTAAGTGTATTAAACAGGAGTGAGGATGGTACACTGTGAGACTGCTGGCAGCACCAATTATTAAGGACAACGCTAAACAATCATTTGTATTCTTGTCTAGTCGGGCTAGCGCTTACAAAGCCTCCTTACCAGTACTGGCTGAATTGTAACCATCCATCCAGTCACCTGATTCCAGCTCATCATAGTTGTCATCATAATCTTCACTGTACAGCTTACCCTCAGGTCCAGGGTCCATGAAGCTCAAGTGTGTACAACAAGATGTTGTCAAAAACTCTGATAATTTACCTGTTTGGATCCTGATGAGTACAGAGAGTAGATAGAAATTAGAAAAGCAGGGAGATTCTTTTTAAAACAACACAATCCCAGTTGACAAAAGGGCACATAGATTGTCTTTTGATGGATTATTAATGTTTATATATTAGTATCAATTTTGTAAAAGGGAAATCAAACAGAACTGCTAGGCATAATGTTCAACTTAAATAGCTAGGGAACTGTGTTAATACAGGTTATAATTATGGGTTCATAATCCATTGCCAGAACAATTTTGCTCTCCACTGCCATATAACAGGCCACCTCAAATGTTCATGGAAAAATGCATTTCAAAAATTTTTGCATCAAAATAAGCTTACCTTTTAATTTCATTCTTCAAAAACTTATTTTTTTTTTTACTTTATTTGAGATGGAGATAAAGAGGGAGATTGAAATGGAGAGGGAGAACATAGAGACAGAAAGAGAGTGAGAGAGAGAATGCTGCTATTCACTGGTTTACTCCCCAAATGCCTGAAATAGCCAAAGCTGGCCCAGGCTGAAGCCAGGAGCTGGGAACTCCATCCAGAGCTCCTACATGGGTGGCAGAGACCCAACTACTTGAAACATCACTGCTGGCTCCTGAGATGTACAATAACAACAGGCAGGAGTTGGGAGTGGAGCTGGGACTCAAATGCATCATTCCCATATGGAATGTGGATGCCCAAGTGGCATTTTAACCACTACATCAAATGCCCGCCCCAACTAACTTTTTGAAGCACTCTCATGCCAAACATCTGGTAAAAATTTGCATTGGCTACCAGAGAAGCCAGGAAAGAATGAAGATGAGTCATAACAAATCTACCACATCATTAAAAAAAATCCAGAAAAGACCATTTGAACGTAAAAGATGGTACCTGGAAATTCTGTTACAATGAATTTTAAGACCCCTTCTTTATAAAGTCAGTTATAAAATCCAAAAGGAAAGTCAATAGTACTAATTTTTTAACGAAGCCAGCTTGAAGGGGCTGCTAGTGGCCACACCTTGGACAATTTGAACATTGAAATAATGACAGGGATGAATCATGACATACTGAATAAAGTAAGAATTCATGAATCTATGCTGATACTAAACTACAAAATCAAAGGGAGTGTAGAAAGCTCTTTTTTTTTTTTCCAACAAATAAATGTGCAGAGTGACAAACACAAAAACACCATTTTACAACTCCATTAGTGATAATTAGCAAGTCAATGGAAGCTAACACCACTTAGTTAAAGACAACTGGTGTTGGGGAAAGGATATGGAGAAATCTGCCATACATTATTTAACCAAGTGGTCAAGGTTAACACCACCAATAATGTGACAAACTAGTCTAATGTGTCTTCTGTTATGATGCACTGAGAAGGATGGCGGTGAATACTTGTAACTTTGTGTTACCTTGGCATCCATTTTGAATCTAAGTTTAACTTTATCAGCAGCAAGGCTCAGTCATCCATGACCCAGTTTACAGTTCTACACGTCCTCCAGTATTCAGTGTGGTCAATCCAGGTATCTGTCTTACACATCTTCCTCCTGGTGACCACTTCCTTATGGGACAGCTGAGTGCAACCTGTTTGGCTAGCTCCTCTGACCTCCATGCCTTCACATAGACTGTGCAGATATGCCACAGTAACCACCTCTCAGTCACAGTGTGACTTTGTGGAACTCATACCTGCCTGCTTTAAATCCATAAATTAATGCTTGTTATGGGACACCTGTTTGGATAATGCCCTAGACTCTAATAAAGGTGTTGTCCCACAGAAAGGCTTGTCTCTTCCTACTCTTGTGTTTCAAGAATTATGTGACACATAGGTCTTCAAGTATGTTGTGTATTCCTTCTGTAAGTAATAAATATTTATTTACATCTTGTGTCTCTCCTAGTCACTGAAGGAGTGCTCTCTCTACCTTGAAGATACTAGATCAAAACAACAACTCAACATCACTAGGTAATACTCCTATCAAAATCATACAGCTTGAATCTAATTATGAGGAAACAACCAGAACAATCCAAATTGAGAGATACTGTGTAAAATTACTGATCTTAATTCTTCAAAACTGTAATAAAAACTGTCATGACAAATTAACAAAATTCTGGGGAGCTATTCTGGATTAAGACACCAAAGAGATATGACAACTAAATGTGTGATCTTCAGTGGGATCCTGAACTGAGAAAAAAGGCTATGTAAAAGCATTACTGGGACAACTGGGTAATTCTGATTATGGTCTCCACAATTAGATATCAGTTACAAGAGTCCCACTTTTATCCATGGTTTCACTTTCCATGGCTATAGCTACTCATGGTCAACTACAGTCTGAAAATATTAAATGGAAATTCTGGAAACAAATAATCCATAAGTTTTAAATATATTTTAAGTATATATTATATTATTATTGTTCTACTTCATTATCAGTTACTGTTGTTAATCTCTTACTGTGCCTAATGTATAAATTAAACTTTATCATAGCTATGTATGTATGGGAAAAAATAATGTACATATGATTCAGTACTATCTGGGGTTTCAGGCACCCACTAGGGGTTTTGGAACATATCCTTTGAGGATAAGGTTAAACTACTCTAGTGTATCAATAGTAAATTTCCTCAGTGTGAGAATTATATTGTATTTAAATATAAGAATGTTCTGTTCTTAGATGATAGAAACTGAAATACTTAGGGTTAAAGAGTCATGACGTCTATGAATAACAAAAAATGTGCATATATGTCTATTTTATATAGTGTTTGAGGGGTGTATTTTGTGTGTGTGGGCATGTATATATATACATGAGAGAAGAGGAGGGAGGAAAGAAAGGGAGGAAGGGAGGAAAGTGGGGAGGAGGTAGAGAGACACACAGTGGATAAAATGTTAACAACAGGTCAATCTTGAGAGACTATGTGGGTGTTCAGTATTCTTTGTGCAAATTTCTTTTTTTTTTTAATTTTTTTTTGACAGGCAGAGTGGACAGTGAGAGAGAGAGACAGAGAGAAAGGTCTTCCTTTGCCGTTGGTTCACCCTCCAATGGCCGCTGCGCCGCCCGAGGGCAGGAGCCAGGTACTTCTCCTGGTCTCCCATGGGGTGCAGGGCCCAAGCACTTGGGCCATCCTCCACTGCACTCCCTGGCCACAGCAGAGAGCTGGCCTGGAAGAGGGGCAACCGGGACAGAATCCGGCGCCCCGACTGGGACTAGAACCCGGTGTTCCGGCGCCGCAAGGCGGAGGATTAGCCTAGTGAGCCGCGGCGCCGGCCATTTTGTGTAAATTTCTAGGGGAAAAGCAACCAGAATAAAAAAAAATTGGTAACCTCTTTTTGTTTTTGAAAGAATAAGTTTTCTTGTCCTCTGAAATTTAGGCAAAGAACAGGTTGGGTAAAACTTCCAACCTTCCTCTATAACATTTAAGTTCCTTGATTCATTCTATCAAATACTAGCTCATCTGAGTATGGTGGGATTCTGCTGTTGAAGACACACAGAAAAGCATCATAACTCTGCTATTACTATAGCCAGCTCCCAAATTTCATTTCACTAAAAGGTGTATAAAGGTCACTTACCTTGCCCCACCAAAATAGCCATCCTGCATTTTTCGTAGTGCTGCCAAGATACTTGAATTTAAGCTGGTTCCATCCTCATCTTGAAATAAAGAGAATTTTAAAAACAATCTTTGTGGCTTTAACTTTGAAGTAAGGGAAACTCTTTCAGTTATTTCAAACAAACATTCTAGAGGTTATGGTACAAATGAGACACCCTGTATTTCCACAACTCAACTGAGAACCAACAACACTGCAGAGTGGGCAAATGACAAGGAATGATGACCAGTTGACAGGCTCCTCAAAGATATTATGTTACTTATCATTAAGTACTTAGCACAGTGCCCCATGGCAAAATACTTAGTAACCACCGAATGCTGACAATAACAATAGAAACTAATTGTTGAATGTTACGTGCTAAGTACCATGCTTAGCATTTTATAAACTCATGTATTATATAAAGAGGCTTGGCTTAGGTTTGCAGATAGGCATACAAATATCTAAAAAGCTAACAATTATCTGATTTTATTTGACAGGGATCCTACTATACATATTCTTGTTTGATCTGTTTTTTCTAACATATCCTTTGCACAGAAAAAGTGATATCAGAGCAGACATTTAGATTCTTTCGACATTTCAATCAGCACTGTTATGAAAAGCATTGTACTTATATCTTTATGCACTTACTCTGTTATTTCCTTAGGTTAAATTCTTACAAATAGAACTCTTAGGATGAAGGGAACACTTACTAAAAAATTTTACACAGATTGCCAAGTTATTCCCTGAAAAAATTGTGCCAATTATATTTCCACCAACAGTACAGAAAGTAACAGTTTCCCCACACTTCTTTTTTTTTTTTAAAGATTTATTTATTTATTTTAAAGTCAGAGTTACACACAGAGAGAAGGAGATACAGAGCGAGATACAGAGAAGGAGATACAGAGAGATACAGAGAGAGAGAGAGAGAGGTCTTCCATCTGCTGGTTCACTCTCCAATTGGCTGCAATGGCCGGAGCTGTGCCTATCCGGAGCCAGAAGCTTCTTCTGGGTCTCCCACATGGATGCAGGGGCCCAAGAACTTGGGCCATTTTCTACTACTGCCTTCCCAGGCCATAGCAGAGAGTTGGATTGGAAGTGGAGCAGCCGGGACTCGAACCGGCGTCCATATAGGATGCTGGCACTGCAGGCGGCAGCTTTACCTACTATGCCACAGCGCCGGCCCCTCCCCACACTTTTAACAATGAATATTAATAATTTTTAATCCTTGTTCATCTGATAGGTAAAACAAGGAGACATCATTCTAATTTTATTGTCAGTAGGACTTATGAATTGCCTGTTCATGTCTTTCTAATTTTTCATTAGGTAGTTTATCTTTTTTTTTTTTTTGACAGGCAGAGTGGACAGTGAGAGAGAGAGACAGAGAGAAAGGTCTTCCTTTGCCGTTGGTTCACCCTCCAATGGCCGCCGCGGCCGGCGCACCGCGCTGATCCGATGGCAGGAGCCAGGAACATCTCCTGTTCCCCCGTGGCCCGCGGGCCCAAGCACCTGGCCCATGCTCCACTGCACTCCCTGACCACAGCAGAGGGCTGGCCTGGAAGAGGCGCAACCGGGACAGAATCCGGCGCCCCAACCGGGACTAGAACCCGGTGTGCCGGCGCCGCTAGGCGGAGGATTAGCCTAGTGAGCCGCGGCGCCGGTAGTTTATCTTTTTTAAAATTGATTTTTAAGAATCTTTGCATGCCGGATGCAGTGGCCATTGGAGGGTGAACCAACGGCAAAGGAAGACCTTTCTCTCTGTCTCTCTCTCTCTCTCACTATCCACTGTGCCTGTCAAAAAAAAAACAAAAAAACTTCGCATATTTTATGAGTAGTGCCCTTTTTCTATCATATTTATGGCAAATATTTTATATAGTTTTGACTTGTCTTCTGACCTCATCCATGACACTATATAAAATGTTTACTTAACCTTTGTTTTAAATGTCAATTTGTTTCTTTTTGTACCTTGGAAAGGACAGCTTTCTTTAGCCTAAGATTACATAAATATGTCCCCATATTTCTTCTAATACTTTCCTTTCTATGTTTAGCTCTTCAATCTATTTAGAATTTGTTTTTACACACAAAGTAAAACAATAAGCCTAAATGAATTAGTTTCCCAAATGTATTCATTTATATTGTTTTGCTTCTATTTAAAATGCTCTATTTATCATTATTTTAATTCTGATGGATCTTTCACTTTCTTTTAAAAAATGCCTATTTTTCTACATTCTCTTTTCTATTTGACTTCTAAGTTCAGCTTGTTCACAAAGTTCAGCTTGTTTTTATTTTTATTTGGAATTGCACTGAATTGATAGATTCATTGGATGAGAATGAAAACCCTTTCAAAATACACTATTTTCATCTAGGAACATGATATATCTCTCTAACAATTAAAATATTTTATGATCTTCAACAGTTGTATAATTTTTCTCATATATTCTAAGAATATTTCTTACTAAACTTACATTATTTAGTTTTCTACAAAAATTCGTCAATTTTATCTAGATTTACAAAACTGTACTTGGCATTCCTTTACAATTTTTAAAGATTCCTTCATTTCCCTTGCTATATCTCCTTTTTCACTCCTAATATTTTTATTACTTGGATTTTTCTTTACTTTGAAGTCTACTATGTTGGATACCAATGTGACCGCATCTGTCTTTTTAAATGAATATTTACAGGCTGGTGCTGTGGTGTAGTAGGTTAAGTTTCTACCTGCAGTGCCAGTTTCCCATATGGGTGCCAGTTCTAGTCCCAGCTGCTCCACTTCCGATTCAGGTCTCTGCTAATGTTCCCAGCAAAGCAGTGGAAGATAGCCGAAGTGCTTGGGGGCTCTGCCACCCACGTAGGAAACCTGGATGGAATTCTGACCTTCTAGATTTGGCCTGGACCAGCCCTGTCTATTGCCATTTGGGGATTGAACCAGTGGATAGAACATCACTCACTCCCCGCCCCCTGCCCCGTGAAACTCTACCTTTCAAATAAGTAAATAAACCTTTTTAAAAAGTACTCTTGCTCTTTTTTCTTTCCAGATACTTCAAGATTCCAGCTTTTATTGTTTTCTTTCTAAGAACTTCTTTTATGTCATCTTTTAGGGCAGATATCCTGAAGACAAATTTACTTAATTTTCCTCCATTTGAAAATGTCTTTTTCCCCTTTTATTCTTAAAGCACATTTTTGCTGGACACAGAATTCTTGGTTTGCAATTCATTTCTTTCAGCACTTGAAAAATGTTGTGCTGGCCGGCGCCCCGGCTCACTAGGCTAATCCTTTGCCCTGCAGCGCCGGCACACCGGGTTCTAGTCCCTGTCGGGGCGCCGGATTCTGTCCCGGTTGCCCCTCTTCCAGGCCAGCTCTCTGCTGTGGCCAGGGAGTGCAGTGGAGGATGGCCCAAGTGCTTGGGCCCTGCACCCCATGGGAGACCAGGAGAAGTACCTGGCTCCTGCCCTCGGATCAGCGCGGTGCGCCGGCCGCAGCGGCCATTGGAGGGTGAACCAACGGCAAAGGAAGACCTTTCTCTCTGTCTCTCTCTCTCACTGTCCACTCTGCCTGTCAAAAAAAAAAAAATGTTGTGCTATCTCCCTCTGGTCTTTGTGATTTCTAATTGGAAATTTTCAATCATTTTCATTGCTTTTCTTTTACAGGAAAAGTATTTTTTCTCTCACTGATCTCAAAATTTTCTCCTTTAATTTTCAGGTGTTTTATTGTTATGTGTTTTGGCATGGATTTCTTGGATTTATCTTATTTCTAGCTTTCTTAGATTTTTTTAATCTGTAAGCTTATGTCTTTTGGTGATTTTCCAATCATTATTTTTAAAAGATTTATTTATTAGTTATTTGAAAGTCAGTGTTATACAGAGAGAGAAGGACAGGCGGAGAGAAAGAGAGAGAGGTCTTCCATCATATGGTTCACTCCCCAAATGATTGCAACTGCAGGAGCTGTGCCGATCTGAAGCCAGGAGCTAGAAGCTTCTTCCGGGTCTCCCATGTGGGTGCAGGGGCCCAAGGACTTGGGCCATCCTCTACTGCTTTCCCTGGCCATACCAGAGAACTGGATCGGAAGTGGAGCAGCCAGGACTCGAACCAGCGCTCATATGGGATGCGCACACTGCAGGCAGTGACTTTACCTACTACACCACAGCACCAGCCCCTCCAATCATTATTAATTATAATACTTTTTCAGCCCCAGACTCTTTCTCTTCTCCTGAAACTCTTACAACATGAATGTTAGATATTTTGTTATTAGTCCCACAGGTTTTTGAGGATCTGCTCATATTTTTTAGTCTATTTTCACTGTGTTGTTTGAACAGTCCATTTCTATAGTTCTATCTTCAAGTTCACTCAGTGGTCTCCACTCTGCCATGGAGCCTATCTAGGGAGTTTTTTCATTTCAGTTATTCTATTTTTCAATTCTAAACTTCCATTTGAATCTTTATGTCTTCAGTTTCTTTGCTGAGACTTCCAAATTTTTTGTTTTAAGTATGGTTGTACTTGTATATTAAAGCAAATTTATGATAACTGCCTTAAACCTGTAGTCATATAATTCCAACATCATTGTTGTCTTGATGTTGGTATCTGTTTATTGTCTTTTCTGATTGGAATTGATATCTTCCTGAATGTTGGTGTGAGTGATTTTCTATTGTATTCTGGAAAATTTTAAGAAGGATTTATTTATTTATTTATCTATATCTATCTATGTATCATATATTTGTTTAGGAGAGAGAAAGAGAGAGAGAGAGAGAGGGATATTTCATCCACTGCTTCACTCTTCAAATGCCTTACCACAGCCAGGGCTGAGTCAGGCTGATGCCAGGAGCCAGGAACTCTATTCATGACTCTCACATAGGTGGCAGGAACTCAAGCAATTGGGCCATCATCTGTTGCCTCCCAGCTGTGCTGGTGTAAAGCTGTATCAGAAATGGAGGAGGATCCCTGTCCCAAGCATCTGCTTAACCTGCTGTGCCACAATGTCTTCCACTTCTAGACATTTTCATTATGAGTCTGAATCTTTTTTAAAAAAAGATTTTATTTATTTATTTAAAGGCAGAGTTATAGAGGGGCAGAGGGA